AAGTTACACATTTGTCCTTGATAAAAAATACTATCCATAAAATCTTAGTGGTTAAACAATTACTTATGTAGGGGTATATCCGGTTGTTTAAGGTAAAATATAGTTAAGTTTGACCAAAAATAAAATTTTTCATTTTAGTAAAAGTGGACAATAATTATGGGACGGAGGGAGTATTTTTTAGAAATATAAATATAAAAAAATATATCAGAAATGTAATAAAGCATTTTGAAAATGTAAAAAAAAAATATAAGAAAGTGAAAAATTATTATGAAAAAAAACCGGAAAAAATTGTGAAAAATAGGAACGTTCATAGATTAATACTATCTCATAAACCCCCGCCACCCAACATCTTTTATACTACATTTTAAACCATTTTTAACTCAAAATCTTATTTACAGGAAAGCTTCAAAATTCTTAAGCAAGTGTTGCTTCGATAGTATTGATAAAAAGATGTTCGAGACTTTTCTCTTACACTTGCTACACATTGATATAATACTACTGATGGAAACCAAGGATTGGGAAAAAAATAAATAAATAAAAAGATACACATATTGATAAAAAGATGTTCGAGACTTTTCTCTTACACTTGCTACACATTGATATAATACTACTGATGGAAACCAAGGATTGGGAAAAAAATAAATAAATAAAAAGATACACATTGATATAATACTACTGATGGAAACCAAGGATTGGGAAAAAAATAAATAAATAAAAAGATTCCACCACGGCCAAGTATATAGAATCTATGATACACCAAATTAGGCATCGAGAATACGGAAACAGAAAACTAAGGTCCAAAGCTCAAAGCTCCTAAGATTTTGTGGCCGTACGTACTGAACAGTTGGAGGAAGAACATGGGGAGGGGCGAATCCAGGTAAGTACAACCCGACAAAGGTTTTTTTGTCTTTAATTAGTCAAAGCCTTAAGAAAAAAAATTAATAAGTCACCCTTTTACATGCATGAATCTGGATTTAAAGTTTAGGATAACAAGATCTGGATTCTAGTCTTAAGTTTTTTTTTTTTTTTAAAAGGCACCTATATATTAATTAAAAAATACATAAACTATTACATCGCATTTTATGGAATGTTAAATTATGAAAACTCTACCACATCTTGTCTACTCACTTTAATCAGTGAGCAAAACTGAAATAAGGAAATACTAGTAACTAACAAAGAAATTACCTCTTAGGCCTCAGAAGGTATTAAAGCAGACCGCAAATCTCAAATCAAAGTTTCACAGTCCGTATAAACTTGAAGTCGAGTGATCCCTAAATGTAATGCCTCTTTCAAGGCCAAGAGACAAGTCATTGCTTGGAGAAAGCACAGTTAGATTCGCCGCTTTGATTTGCATCACCATACCATGATGTGATAGAATCTTCCAAGCACCAGCAACTTTGCGTGTTTGATGGCTAAACGATCCATCAAAAATAACTAAGGAATCAGTCGGACTCTTCTGTGATAGCAATAATTGTGTGTTGGGAGAAGGTCTTCCAACTACCAGTCTTAAGTTTGTTAGTACTCCCTCCGTCCCATAATTATTGTCCAATTTTGCTAAAATGAAATATTTTATTTTTGGTCAAACTTAACTATATTTTACCTTAAACAACCGGATATACCCCTATATAAGTAATTGTTTAACCATTAAGATTTTATGGATAATGTTTTTTACTAAGGACAAATGTGTAACTTGATCCATAAAAAGTCAAATTGGACAATAATTCTGGGACAAAATTTTTTGGGCAAAGTGGACAATAATTATGGGACAGAGAGAGTATTACTGTGTGCGTGTTTTTTTTTGTTTTTTTTTTTTCGTGTTTTGTAGCAACTTGTGTTAGTGCTAATTAATCTTCCTACGATTATTCTATACTACCAATGGCAAATTGTAATCTGCTCTCATGGCCGCCAGCTAGCCTGCATTCCTTTTATGACAAATAGGCACAATCGATGAAAGCAAAGGGTTTGGACTTTGGACTAATTTCTGGAAATTTCGATAGGGAAGTTGAGTGACATAGTAAATACTCCTAAACAAAATATTAGTTCGCATTAATTCTTTCGATCTGGATTAAAAATGATACAAATTTCAACTCATCGTGAATTTTTTCTTGAAACAGATAAAATATGCATGATTTATATAATCACAATGTTAGGTTCAACTACAGCCGCAAAAAATATCTCAGAAACAATAGTTTGTTTTTTTCCCTCCATACAAATCTCTAGATTACCTTAAATTATAGTCACTTGATGTTTTCTTAAGTAGAAAGAAAATACATAGTCGCACTTCTTTTCAAGTTATTTGGAAAGGAACTTTTACTAACAACAATAACAATTTTACTGGGCGTTAAAAATCTTTGGTTGAAACATCCATTTAGCAATTTGTCGTGAAGCAAGCGATATACTTCGAAAGATTTATATTCCAAAAGCAACTGCATTTAGGAATAAAACAAGAGCCTATTAGAACTACATTTTAAAAACGTTTTAAATAAGTACGTATCCGAACGCAAAGATCTGGCTACCATAATAGTACATATATACTTACAAGATACTACGTATGAAAAAGGAGTTAGATAATTAAAGCAGAATATATAGGTTGTAAATATTTGTGAACCTCAACATAGACCATTTTCAATTCACTACCACACTATACGTTAAGTCTTTGTAATATGGTGACTGAACGTTTCAGTCACCTAAATCATTGAATAATTATAATTCTTATCCACATGAAAATTATAATAGTAATTTTTAAATTATTGACTAAATTACTCAGCCGATAATGTTACACAATTTTTCTTCGTTCCAATCCTATCAACTATCAAATATCGAGTATAAAAGTTGAATGAGAAATTAAGATCCAATTTTCTAGAAGTGGTCCATTCCATATTTGGCACTCTCTGCAGTCTGCACCTCTGTAGCCAAATATAGTTTGCATCAAGCATTAGAAACAACAAATTGCTAATAATAATAGTAGTATTTCATTAAAACCACCTGGTAATGATGCTGAGTGTTTGGTGTGGCTAAGTACAGATGAATCTACAGCCCACAGGAAAAAACATTGGAAACCATAAATAATGAATATACAGATTTATATATAAAAACAGTGATTTTATTTGGCTTTGAAAAATATGAGACCCCCCAAATTAAGAACATAAGAAGAATCTAGCTTAGTTCCTAGGGTGCATTTTCCCGCGTCTCACCATCTTTGTGTGTGGTTGCTAACAAACTACCTCGTCTACTCCGTCCTTCTGTCTTTGCAAGAACAATTTCCGTTTCTTTATTAATCGATATACTAGTATTTCTTTTTTTACAGTCAATTCTTGTATACCCTCTTTAAATACTAAATGATACGCTACTTAATTATATTCTAGTTTTAATAATTCAGTTTCTAAAACTAATGTTGTACTACACCATTGTAGACTACGTTACAACAAGATAGAAAGACTAGTTAGAATTGAAGAAAGGAGTGAATGTGTTGATAAATATCATTAATGTGATGATAAATATGGGAAATAAAAGAAAGATCTTAAGTAGTACTTCCTCCGTCCCAAAATTATTTAAGTTTTCATTTTTAATTCAAATTGTACTAAAAGTGAAATCTCAAACTGGACAATAATTTTGAGACGGAGAGAGTAATACAAAAAAAAAAGGTTTTAATTTTGTCTCTTAACAAACATCAACCATCATCACATTTCACTTTTACTGTCAATTTTCAGAGGATTTATCAATTTTTTTTTCTTTATATGCTACAAGAATACCGAGGAAATATCATTTTCAGGGAGTGATTAACAAAAACAAGAGACTGACTCAACATTTCTCTACATTATCACTGGTCCGTTACTCCGTTATACAGAAAAACATAAATCAGATTTGGATTTTATTGGAATATTATATCCTTCGGTACATATGACCTCACCTGAATCCACCGTACGTGCTCATTCTCTGAATCTAGTATTCCATTTCTTTTTTGGCGTTAAACTTTGGTAAAAGTACGTAGAAATTGACCAAACACTTCCCTGTGTACAACGTACGTAGTAGGACCCAAGTCCCATAACCTAATAGCGGCGCTTTTATACTAATTAAGCTAATTTCTCTTAGCCGAATTAGTAATAGACTACTATTCTAGGCTTCTAGCAGCTGGTTCCAGCTTCGTTACTTTCCACAAATCCACATGGATTAAATTACTCATTTGATTTATACAGTTGTGTTCATTTCTTTTTTTTTTTATTGCACGAAATCGGTAATAACAAAAGTGATATAAAAACTTCTCATTACATATTACTCTCTCCATTTCAAAATATAAATAGTTTTAAGTTTGGAGAAATATTTCAAAATGTAGGTCGTTTTATGATTTTAAGTCAAATTAAACATTAGCTTCTCAACTTTGCCCCCAATTAATGATTCTAATCACTTTTCATCTAGTTTTGGTTATAATTCTAAAATAATTAATGAAGGACAAAATAAAAATTTAACACACAAATTAATCATTGATTGTCTCTTTAGTTTACGTGTAGAATCTAAAAAGACTTATATTTTGAATTGGAGGGAGTATATACATTCACAATCTCAAAATAAAAATCCTTGCGACAAATGGAAGAATAGTTGGTCTTGAAAATGGTAGAATTGCATCAAGTTAAATGAGAATGTAATTTAACCTCCTAAAATGTTTGTGTCGACCCATCAAAAATATGTTACAAAAGAAAGTAAGAAAATATCTGGGATGCATTGCATTATTCGGAAAAATCCCATTCGCACCTCGTGCAAAAGCAATGACGATAAATATATATATATATATATATATATATATATATATATTTATATATAAGGCACGCACAAATGGATGATTCCGTGGTTTTTATCACGTGAAAATTCCATTCCGGTAAGAAATCAGCTTTAACCAGTATTTCCTCATTAATTAGAGGATGAAATGAATTGAAATCAATATGGATAATAAGGGTATTTAAACATTTAGGAATTTAACTTAAATGTTAAATCTACCTTAAGTATCCGACCAAAAAAAATTGACGCCATAAACTACACTAAATCTAAACGAAGGAAAGTAAAAACAAAAAACGGAAAATTAGTAGGGGGAAAAAAAGCCAAAAAGAAAAGGCAAATTGAAAGACACGTCATATACAACGAACTTGGAGTAATTCGAAACTTTGCATTCAAAGATGGATCAGTTAAAACTAGCAAAGTCTACCAAAGACTTCTTTACAAAAGATGGCCTAAAAATCAAACCAAAAACTCGGACCAAAAAGAAAAAAAAAAATTGATTAGAATCATGAAATTCCACTTCCCTTTTCATCCAAAAATGCACCATCAGGCAGAATCCAACGGTTCTTCATTTTTTTTTTCAAACGGGTCAGTCGTCGGAAATTCTCTCAAACATATTCAGTTTCCGGTATAACATCGGGACCGGGAATTTTGGCCGGCGAAACCGCCAAGATAACCAACAGCATCATAATCAAAATCGGGACGAACAAAACCATTGACGGCGGAGGAGGGAGCGGCGGCAAAACCAGCGGCAGGAACAAGAGAAACACCGTTAGCAGCGCCATGATTCCTCCGGTTCTCAGATTAAAATACCTGACCATCAAACTCTTGTCATAAAATCTAAGATCATCACCGGAGACGACGGCGGTGGCGGAAGCAACAATTCTTTTCCGTCGATATTGATATTGATGGTAAGTACTATCCGGTTTGTAGTAAGACATCATCTCCTTCCACCCATCTGATGAATCTCAAAATCCCAAAATCTCCGCAATTCCCAAAAGGGTTTTAGGATTTGGGCAACTTCTGATTCTTCTATGCAAAACAAAAAGAAAAAATAAATAAATAAACAGAATTTTCTGGTGAGAATGGGAGTGATTTATATAGGGGGAAATGGAAAGAGTGAGGGTATAAAATTTTTGAAATGCCCAGGATTTGGGTTTGAAATTGTAACGGGCTGTCTTTGTCAAAACCGACAGATGAACCAAAAAGACTTACTTAAAAACGTCATTGTCAAAGTTTGTGGGGTGGATTCAGGGTACCAAAAGGGTATTTTGGTATTATTGCTTGTGTTTGCAATGAACAGTTTTTTGTTTGCTGTATTTTTCCTTGCAACAGCTTGGTTTGTTTTCCATTTTTCATTTTAAGACATTAATTATGCCGATATTTTTAAACTTTTAAACCCAAATATTGGGTAACTCAACGTGTTTTCTGAGTCTAATATTACGTTCCATTCACACTCAATTAGGTATCGCCTCAATTTACTTTTATTTATCGCTTTAGGCATTTTTTTTATCAGTTGCACTTCATTTTCAATGTTACATTAAATAGAGTTTTTTTAATTTTACCCTTATTGTAAAATTGTATTTAATATCCAACGTGTGAAAGTAGTCTTTTGAGATTTTTATTTAATTAGTGATAAGATATTCTTAGTAAATATTAAATGTATAACAATACTTCTATCTCATGATCACATCTGGTATCTAATTTCCTCCCATTTACTCCTTCCGTCCCATAATTATTGTCTAGTTTGAGTTTTTATTTTTAATTCAAATTGTACTATAAGTGAAATACCAAAGTGGACAATAATTTTGGGACATAAAAGAGTTTTTTTTTACTGAACATTGTAATGTTAAGAAACAAAATGATATTCCGTTACATTCATTCTCTTTCCCGTGCACAGAAGGCACCCAAAAGAAAATGACAATAACAATTGGGGTCATAGTGAAATCAAAATAAAGTTAGAGGATAATTTTATCTAAAAGAACCAAAACTTTTATGTTTTAGTTAAATTAATTAAATAAACAAAGTCAAAATAGTCTTCACCGGTTTGACTAACAGACTTCTTCTCTTTCTACCACCTTTGTCCTTCGCAATTCAGATCCGGCGAACGAAAAGGGACGACGGAATGGTTTTATCCATTTCTGCCTGTTTGACCATGGTTTGCTAGACATGCTTCTTGTTTATAATTGTTGTTACCTTGAAAACTTTGAAAGACCAAAACAAAAAGAAAGTAGAATGGTAATGCTACATACTTTAAACCCATACTAAGCTTAGTGGCTCGCAAAGCAAGAAAAAGTGAAATGAAATCTGAATGTGGCAAGAACCAGAGTAAGAAATTGGATGTTGGAGAGGTATAGGAATTAGGAAGGAAAGAAAAAGGAATTAGGGGGATTTTATTCTAGTGGTTTACTATTGATCGTCGATGTGTATATATTCTTTTAATCATTTTAGCGGTTGATTTTTACTAAGTTCATTGTGCAACGTGCAGGGTTCATTGGGTTGCCAATGGTAGGGACACTTCATGAGTTTTTCTCCCATCCATGTCTATTTCCCCACTTCTTTTTCTTTTTGCTTCGGGGAAAATAACAATTTCCTTTCATTTGGAAAGGTTTTCACCTTAACATTTGTTTCATGTGATATCGTTGGACCTCTTTTTAGATGTTGATTTTTAAAGTTCGCATCTTTTATATCAGGAATTCCTGGCTGAGAAAGTTTAAATATATAGCGAGCCCAATAAGTAAATTTGAACCCAACTCAATATAAAATTTTAAGGTGATAATTCTTGATACTAACATACTTATTAATTGTTCTTTATTGTCTATAGATACCGATGTAAGATAACTACTCATACTCATGACCTCAACAATCATAGTAAGTTCTTATCATGTATTTGACAGAAATGCTTGCACTAACAGAATCTTCTTTCTTCACATTCTCTCTCAATAGCTATTATCCTTGAACCTATGCTGCAAACTGCAAAATTAGAGGAACTCAAAAAGAGCAGCTATTTTGATTTCTCTTTTCAACAATGACTAGAAAAAATCTGGATGTTTTTCTCAAAGGAATATGCAATTCAAATGACCGGAAGTACAAAACATGTAATGCATTTGTAAGTGGACCATTTAATTAAGCTCTTCAAAGAAAATCTTTATATCAGCTGTGTTCGCAATATATACGCGTTGAGAGACACAAGATTTATGGGCTAAATTGAGTGAATTTATGAACAACATGAGAGCGATCCTTGGATAGTTGGAGGACATTATACTTTGATTTGTAACTTGGCGGAGTACTCTAGGAATTCAACTCCAGGTCGAGCAGCTATTGAAGATTTCAACACATGGATTAATAGTTGCAACTTAGCTGAGATCCCGACTACAGGAACCAAATTCAACTAGGTTGTCAAGAGGCAAAACGGACGTGTGCTTAAGAAGGTGGATAGAATTTTATTTTCAGTTGCGTCGCTCTTTCCAGTTTCAGCTGTACAAGATTTAAATGGATCATCGTTAGATCATAATCCACTGCACCCGTTTGATATTAGTACTGATTCAAGGTGAAGGATATTCTGATTTCAATGAACGTGGTTCAGAAGGAAGGAATTTTTTATTTAAATTGTGGAAAGGGAAAACTGGGAGCAACCAATTCAAGGATATGGAATATTTGCTTTCTCTTCTAAGCTAAGACCATTGAATTTTAGATTAAAAGAGTAGAATAACATAGATGTTGAAGATCTCTTTCAGAATCTAAGCACAACAGAAGAAGAAGTGCGATCGAAGGAATTAGAATTTGATCAATCAGGGGCTGTCTCGGATAGAATAGCTTTGAATTAAGCTCAAGCAATACTATTGTTGAGGCTAAGGAACCTTTTGTGCAACAAACATCTAAACTCAAGTGGTTGAAAGAGGGTGATGCAAACACCTTTTATTGTCATGCATCACTTGTGGAAAATAGAACGGGACTTGGTGTTCATAAAATTAAAAAGTATGATGGTGCTTGTACAGGCATAACAGAAATTGAAAGGGAGGGAGTTCGGTTTTTTCAGCAGCTACTCACTAAGGTAGAATCTACGGATCATGATGAGACTTGTGACAAGTTGCTTCAATTCCTCCCATCGTTCTTTAAGATGAAGACAATGAGCATATATTTCAGCAAATGAGACTTGAGGAAATGAAAAAAAGCGGTGTTTAGTTTGGATCTTACACGTGCCTCAGAAATAAACAATTTAATCGTCACTGTTAGAATATCAAGTTGTGATTTGCAAGTAGCTTGTTTAGATTTTATGGTTGGGATGCCACTTCCTAGAGCAATTGGAAGCACGCTAGTAACATTAATCCCCAATAAAAACACAATGATATCTTTTGCAGATTTTCGTCCAATAGCCTATACGATTTAGTAAAATCTTCACAAAGATTATGACGGAGAGGCTGAAAAAGGTGGTTCCTAGATTGATTTCAGAGAAGCAATCGCGCTATATCCTGCTGTAAGGATGTAATGGACAACATTCTTCTGATTTAGGACTTTTCACAATTTTTGGATCATCCAACGAGGGGAGAAAATCTTGTCTTGAAATAAATATGATGAAGGATTTTGATCGAATTTCTTGGAGTTTTCTTAATAGGATTTTAGCTAAGTTTGGCCTTCACTCAAAATTCATATCCTTAGTGATGACAAATCTCAGAGATAGTTGATTTTTTATCCTAATAAATGGAAGTCCGGCTAGTTTCTTTCAAACTTTTAGAGGCATAAAACAAGGTGATCTTGTTTCATCTTACCTATTCATCCTTGTGTTGGAAGCAGTGACGAGGGGTTTGAAGGAGTTAACTAGTATTGGACAAATTGCAAAATATGGAGTGCCGATTGGCCCTTATGTTGTCTCACATTGGTCTTTTGCTGATGTACTTATTATTTTCACCAAGAAGCAGTGACGAGGGGTTTGAAGGAGTTAACTAGTATTGGACAAATTGCAAAATATGGAGTGCCGATTGGCCCTTATGTTTGTCTCACATTGGTCTTTTGCTGATGTACTTATTATTTTCACCAAGGGGCTGAAAATATCAATAGAGTAGCTGAACTTGTTCTTTCAATTGTATGAATTGGCTTCGGGACAAAAGATAAATAAGCAAAAAAGCTTTTACATCACATCAAATACACTTCAGCTCACATTGAAATGGTATCTAGAACACTTCAAATGCCTAAAGGGAATTTTCCTTTCACATACTTGGGTTGTAACCAGTTCAAAGGGAGGAAAAAGGTGGAGTACTTCAAAAATCTCGTAGATGCTTTCGATGTATGATTGACAAATTGGAATGATAAATTCTTATCAGCAGATCGGAGATTATTGCTCATCAAACATGTTACACCAATACTGCTTCATACCTTTATTGCAATTGCTCCGATGATCTCAATGTTGTAGAAGAAACGTCAATCCTTCTTATGGGGTAACACGGAAACAGGTGAAAAAAGGCATTGGAAAGCTTGGCACAATATCACTTTTCCAGTGGAGGAGAATGGATTTGGGACACTGGTAGACGGCCGTTGAAACCTCCAAACACTACAAGAAAGATTTTTTTTAATACAAATAGAAATGTAATAATAGAACACATATAGTGACATTTTATTATATTACTACGTTTTCTTAAAGTGTAGTGTAAGTAGCGGTAGTAATAGGTGTTCTACATATAAGGACACAACTAAATGTCATGATAATTTTCTGATATGTCACTAAAAGAGCCATAACCCAACACTACAAATAGTAGTTTAATTATTGTATTATTACATTTGGGATTGTCTTGATACTGCGACCTTTTCAAACTTTATTAACATTATTAATTGTCATGATACATAAAGTATTACGACATTTGTAGATGTACTTAGAATTATTCTAGTACAACATTTTTATGAGTCGCAATTTTATATTTTTTGATACTCTGAATAGTCTAAACAGATGCAAATAGGTTATGTTTAGATGTCACATAAATTACTTTTTATGACATTTTTTGTGGTATAAATGTGTCAGCATTTCAAAATATTAAGATATACAAAATGTGTAAATAAATAGTTTATAGAGACACTTTTTTTAGTGCATACAACTATCTTATTACGACAGTTTTAGGTGTCAAAATCTAAATATGTTGCTACAAAATAAAATGTATAGATAAATAGCCTATGAAGACATTTTTAGGAGTTCATATAACTAACCTGATATGATAGTTTTAGGTGTCAAAATCCAAATATGTCGGTACATAATAAAA